TTTTTTTTTTTTTTGATTTCTTTTGTTCTCGTAGGTTTTTACTGAGACTTTATGCTTTTCCTCTTTATTCTGATGTGTAGGTTTGTTAACTTTCTTTGTGGTTACCGTGAAATTTACCCTTATCTAAGTTTGAAGCAATCTATTATTACTTGGTATCGCCTTGCCTTCCTCTCCATCAGAAGGTTCTATACCTACACCATTTATTCTTTTATTGTTCTAATGTTGTTGTCATTTACAGATTAATTGCTCTGATTCCCTGTTGTATTTCTTTTGGTTTTGGATAGTCCTTGCGAGTTCATTTCCTAGATTGGTATCTGGCTGGTATGATCCGGCATCCCACATTCAGCCTGTGAGCTGATGCTGTTTGTTATCAGATCGAAGGACTCCCTTTAATAATTCTTGTTAAGTTTGGTTTCGTTTTTACACAGTCCCTTAATTTTTGTTTATCTGGAAATGACCTAATTTCACCATCATATTTGAACAAGAGTTTTGCAGGATTTATTATTCTTGGCTGGCAATTTTTTTCTTTCAAGGTTTTATATATGTCATCCCATTGCCTTCTTGCCTGCATGATTTCTGCCGAATAATCAGGGCTTAGTCTTACTGTTTCTCCTCTGTATGTGACTTTTTGTTTTTCTCGAGCTACTCTCAGGATTCTTTGTCTTTGCTTTTGGTGAACGTGATTATGATATGCCCTGGTGATTTTCTTTTGGGGGTCTATCCTATACGGGGTTCGTTAAGCTTCTTAGATGGCCTGCTTTTCATCTTTCATGACACTGGGGAAATTTTCTGTCAGCAGCAGTTCTTCAATGATCCTCTCTGTGTTTTCTGTTTTCTCCCCGTTCTGGAACTCCAATCACTCACAAGTTTTTGCTTCTGATTGCATCCCACATAATTCTCAGGGTCTCTTCATTTTTCCTCATTCTTTTTTCTGATTTTTCCTCAGTTGTATCAAAGTGTTTGTCTTCAATTTCGCTGGTCCTGTCTTCTACTGTTTCAGACCTGCTCCTCAGCCCTTCTATGACAATGTCCATTTCTGAAATCTTGTTGTTTATGTTTTGGATTTCCAATTATTATTTTTGTATGATTTCTAGTTGTGAATTTATTTTGGCATTTTGTTCCTGGATTATTTTCCCAAATTCTTCCATTTTTTTGTATTTTCCATGAATTTGTCTATTTTTTCCTCATTTTTGTCTGCTTTTTGCTTCAACTCTTGGATAGCTCTGAATATTAGAGATTTGAATTTCCTATCAGGTAGTTCTTGTGCCTTTTCTTCTACTGGAAAGTCATCTGGTGTTTTAGTTTGGATGCCTACTGGAATCATCCTGTCCTGTTTTTATAATGTTCTGATATTGTCTGCTGTCTTCAGGGCATTTGGTAGTTATTTTCCTCATTTACTGACTGTAGA